TGTTGACCAGGATGGTCTCGATCTCTTGACCTCGTGATCCACCCGCCTCGGCCTCCCAAAGTGCTGGGATTACAGGCTTCAGCCACCGCGCCCGGCCTCAAAGAGTAATTCTTTAAATCATTTCAGGAAGCCTAGGTAATGATAGGAGCATGGGGTTGCAGTCAGACAATCTGAGTTCTATTCCTAGCCTTAATGCCTAGAGCTCTGAACAAGCTAAGTTCTTAAATGAGGTTATCACCCATCTTTCAGAATTGTTACAAGATTCAAGCAAGTCCATATCTATAAAGCACTTAGCAAGCTCTTAAGTCAATAATAATAGGCCGGGCGCAGTGGCTCATGCCTGTAATCTCAGCACTTTTGGAGGCCGAGATGGGGAGATCACTTGAGGTCAGGAGTTCGAGACCAGCCTGGCCAACATGGTAAGACACTATCTCTACTAAAAATACAAAAATTAGCTGGGCATGGTGGCCCACGCCTGTAATCCCAGCTACTCTGGTAGGAGAATCACTAGAACCCAGGAGGCGGAGGCTGCAGTGAGCTGAGATTGTGCTGCTGCACTCTAGCCTAGGCAACAGAGCAAGACTTTGTCTCCAAAACAAACAAAAAACAGCCAGGCATGGTGGCATGTACCTGTAGCCCCAGCTACTCAGGAGGCTGAGGTGGGAGGACTGTTTGAGGCCAGGAGTTCGAGACCAGCCTGGGCAACAAGCAAGAACCCATCTCAAGTAAAAAAAAGACAATGATCAGCAGAACCTGGCCAATTTGTGCTGTTTGACTTTATTAGTAAATTGTTCCTCATGCTGGACCATCAGTATCCTTGTTTGTTAGAGTTCAGACACCAAAGTCCCAAGAGGGAAACAGTTAGCTTGGTCTCCAACTGGTCAAGCTCCATTTAGAAACTACTATCTGTTTTCCTTTGTCTACTCCAGTTCCTCACAGTGCTTTTAACCAACAGAGGAAATGGGTTAGTTAGTATCACATCTCTGCCTCTGCAGATGATTTTCAACTCACACTTGAAATTATTTCTGTTTAGTAATAAAAAACATCAGCCAGGCATGATGGCTCACACCTGTAATCCCAGGACTTTGGGAGGCAGAGGTGGGCAGATCAACTGAGGTCAGGAGTTCAAGACCAGCCTGGCCAACATGGTTAAACTCCGTCACTACTAAAAATACAAAAATTAGTCGGGTGTGGTGGCAGGTGCCTGTAATCCCAGCTACTAGGGAGGCTGAGGCAGGAGAATCCCTTCAACCTGGGAGGTGGAGGTTGCAATGAGCCGAGATCTCACCACTGCATTCCAGCCTGGGAGATAGAGCAAGACTCTGTCTCAGAAAAAAAAAAATCTGTGACTTCCAAGAAAACTCAAAGTTCAGCTGCTCAAGTGTAGCTGGCAGCTGCTCTTGTACTTACTTAGATCTTGACATCGGATAGTGTTGAAGTCAAAGTTAATGCAGAGATAATCACATGTATCTCTAAGATCTGGGATTGAGATGCCATCAGGACAATTGATGATACCGGTTTTGTAATAATCCTGTAAATAGATTAGGAGGAAAAAATGTAGGCAAAGAACAAGATGAAAAATGACTTCTTCATCCCTATGCATTCCTGGTTCTGTTAAAGCAATGCACTAATGGAATTACCACCAAATGTATGATTCATTAGATGGCAAAATAGCTCCTGGATATCTTGAGGTGTTTAATCAGAACTTGGTAACTGATAGAGCCCACACACAAACGAGCAAGGACTTAAAAGTTACAGGAATAGAAAACAAAGGGAGAAAGGAAACAACTGGAAACGAGAGACCCTAAAGACAGTAACATAGCTGATGGAGCTCTCAAGGCTATTGATCACACATGCGCCTGAGGAAGAGAATATAACAAAAAAGGGCCACTACACACCAACACTGTGCGAAATACAGTTGCACTGATGCCTTCGGCAATCTCATACTCTCCCTTCTCATTGGGCCGAGTGAAGTTGTACTCTCTTCCTGGTCCAAACATCCTGAAAGATACCCAGGTAATAATGTTATCTTCTCCAGCATGATTCTTCACAGATCAGTCTTCTCCCTTCTGTACCTCATTCTGGAAGACTCCATCCCATTCTCTCATAGTATAAGTTAAAAACACAGCACTGGGACCCAATGCCCACAAGACAACTCAGGTCTTAGGCAACTCCCTTCAGACAGGAAAAGGAGACAATTGCTTTAAGCATTGGTGTGCAAAGAAGAATGAAGGATCAAGTCCACAAAGTTCACCTGTAGTGAGTTTCTCTGGCAATAAATGCAGTAAACAGCAACTGCAGAGGTGGCCCTTGGAAAATATCTGTGTTGAGATGGTGACCTTTCATGCCCTCCCCACTGCCCAAGAACCTGCCTATATATACTGACAGCTCAAGGAAGACAGCATCTAGACTCCTTTTTATTCCTGTCCCCCCTCCTGTCATCACTGACCTATCTAATATGCCATTCGTCAATATTTCTGAGTTTTACTTTTCAACATCTCATCTTCTGTTAGGTGCAGCTATGTTAATGCTTTCCTGGTATGTCTTAACAGTGGAGCTCTGGGGGAAAAATGGCCTTACTCAATACCAAGAATAATGATGGGACTTCCAGATCAGGTAGAAAAGGAGGGTAGGCATTATTAGGCTTATCAGCAATTTACTACATTTCAGAAAGGCAGGCCTGCTCTCCATGAACTCAGAAGTCATAGGGTACAGGGAGGAGGGCTTACTTTTCCACCTCTCTCCATCCTTCCTCCCTTCTGTCAGATTCCCTCCAGTCTAAATGACCCCATGACTTCTACTCCTGTTGCACTTTTGTGTATGAGCTGTGGATGGTTAGATAACACAAAGGAAAGGGCAGGCAGCTACTATCTTCAACCAGACTAAGATTTGACTTCCCAATGGGGACTCACTGCCATTTCCTTCCTCAGACTGCTGGGAAGTATTGCTGTTCTACTGTTCACAACTTGTCCTCCAGCCTGAACTGGCTGCTTTTCAAAGGTCTGAAAATGATTCTGTTTCACATGCTTCCCAAATAACTGTACCACACATAAGAAATCTGTCTTGATAAAAGCCTCCAAAGAAATGCAGATGTTTTTCTGGAATGCTCTAGTTGAATGAAAACTAGCTCAGAGAGCTTTGAATAAAAATAGTGAATATATTGTAAATATAATCCCCCCTATTTATCATTAGTAGGACTTCAGCTCAGCGTTATTTATTTAGTAGTGGCATGGATCTGCATTAATCCACTCTCTTTCTCTCAGCTTCTCCCCGTGTGACATCTGTAAGCTCACTGGCTAGGCTTACAAGTACTGTATATAACAGAACAGGCAGCCACAGAATAGAACAAATCTAAATAACTTACAGAACATATGACCTTGGTGAACTGAGCTGAGTGAACCACAAAGATAAATAACCAGACTCTCCTCTTCATGGGACAACTCATTCCAAGATTCAAACCAGTGTCACCCAAGAATCTTACCCAGAAAACACTTGCCTTTCTTATCTTGATCACTACTTTCAGAGGCAACATACCCAAAACAGCCAGTCTGCACTAAGAAACACTTTTTTTAGGGGTTGGGAATGGTGGTGATATCCAAACTGAGAACAAGAAGTCAAGCCTGATTAAAAAAAATACAGGGCCAATCTGGAAAATGTTTTAATGTGCTATAATTCAGATGTTTAAGAAATACGTAGACAGGTTTGGTTCTAAATAAAAAGTGGTCCACTGTGAATTTGTATGTTCAAGTACACCTATATTTGAATGGCTGGATTCTATTTAGCCTAGAATTCAATAAATTAGTGTGATCAATTCAAATTTCTTTTTTTTTTTTTTTTT